CAATGATCGTCATCATTTACTAACATGATGAACGATATCATGACGGATTGTAATTAAAAATATTATGTAACAAATGAAATACAAATAGACCACTGTAATATTGAAATGAATAATAATACGAAATTATTCTAGCAATTTTAACAAAAGGAGTGCTGTCTGTTTAACTCACAAAGGCAAGGTGAACGGACACACACACACACGCACACACACACACACACACACACAAGCATCAGGCCGGTTTCAGCTGCGGGCTCCAGTAGGGAGTGAAACATGCTTGACATAACATTGAGAAAGGAAAACACGGCAGCTGCATTCTCCCTGCGTGTGGTGCTATAATTAGATGGCGGTGACGTCACCGAGGCCGCAAGTGACACACAACAGAGGCTAACTGCTTTCTGGCTCTCTCCCCACCCTGCCAGATCAGTCAGACGGAATAACCACATAGTAACAGAGGATCAGGAAATGACACGTGCACTCTGCTAATGCAGGGGGTGTCCGAACCCACTTTCCCTTCAAGCTCAGTGGGAACTGAGACCATTGTGTTTAAAAACGTGTGGTTTTATTTAATTATTATCCACAAAGATTTCTTCAAGCAGTCTGTAATTGGAGACATTGCCACAAAGTTTTATGAGTAATTACACTAGATTTATATGAGATTAACTCACTGACATCCATCTGCATTGAAATATTAAAATGAATGTTTTGTGAATATTTATGTGCAAGCTGCAGTTTAACCACCTGTTGATAGATTACTTATCACTGCTTTACTTATCTCCCTAGGACAATTGCAGATTATTAGATTAGTTCATAGATTACTGTGTTTTTTGTGTGTGCTGTAAACAGGAGACCTGAATTGCGTTCTGCACATTTAATTTGTGTGGAAAGGAAAATGAAACATAAACACGATGAGATGAGTTGTACTCTGTGGTGTCGGTGTCAGAACAAATCATGGGGGGGAGCAGTGGTGTTACCAGAATGCCATCAGGGGGTGGGGGAGGCAGTGGCTCAGTTAAATTTGTCAAGCAACAATAGAGAAAGCAAAAGCCTCATGACCTGTGCTTGCACCATATGTCTTAATCATTCTTTTTCAGCATCTTTGGGTTTACCGCCCCCCCTCCCCCCACGCTAACCCTGCTACTCTGTTTTATTATGTACAGTACCAGTCAAAAGTCTGGACACACCTGCTTTAAAAGCATTTCTCTCTATTTCAGCTGTGTTATTCACCTATTAGTAAAAGGCCTCGAGGCAATGAAGTAATGCATATCAAATACTGTAATGCATATCAAATACTGTAATGCATATCAAATACTGTAATGCATATCAAATACTGAAGTGCTCAACATCTCAAACTTCTCAAATTTGAGACCCTTCAAAACAGCCTCCTTTTGCTACAATGACAGCATCACAGACTCTTGGCATTCCTTCAACCAGTGTCCAGCAGACACCTGGAATGCTTCTCCAACAGTCCTGAAGGAGTTTCCACAAGTTCTGGGCACTCGTAGGCTACCTTGCTCTTACTCTTTGATCCAACTCATCCAAAATCAGCTCTGTAGGATTTAGGTCGGGGGGTTGTGGGGGCCAGGTCATCTGTCACAGCACTCCAGCACCAGATTATTACTGGCACCGTAAATGACATTTCAGCCACACTGTGCATGCTGTGCTGTGCATGCTGTGCTGTGCTGTGCTGTGCTGTGCTGTGCTGTACTGTGCTGTGCTGGGGAAGGGTAGGGGATGGGGCCCTGTGTGTCTTCTCTGTAACCTTGCTCCTTTTCTGTCCAGCTGCTCCTCACGTCACCGGCCACAAGCGCAGCGAGAACCAGAACGAGGGCCAGAGCGCCATGCTCTACTGCAAGTCCGTGGGCTACCCCCACCCGACGTGGATCTGGCGGAAGCTGGACAGGGGGGCTTATGTGGTGCGCGGCGGCGTGCGGGGGGGGAGCATGTTGTTTCAGACCTGCAGGAACTTGGCGTGCCGCTTGATACGCATTACTACTTATAACTGCGGGATGGTTGATGAGCTGGGGGTCGGCTTCCGAAATACGATCCCGGAGCGGCTTCCTCCCTGGGCTTGGCAGTTCTGTTACTGCTGGGGGGCCATGCTGTGATCTGTGCAGTATGTGTGTGTTTAAGCACAGGGAACACTGTGGGGTCTGTTTGTGTCATTACCAGTTCCTAGAAAAGAAAATGTTACTGATAAGCTCTACACTGCCCCACAAAGGCAAAACACTGTAACTGCGCTGACACTGAAACTGAGAAAAAGGGTTTTTTGCTTTGGTTTTAGTGTGGATTTTGCAGTTACTGTAATTTTCACACTCTGTTCTCATCAAAACCAAGCATAGTTGGACTAAGATATTTTGTCAAAAGATAAAACAGTAATAACTCATATGTGATTAAACATGCAGTTACAGTGATTTGCCTTTGGGGGCAGTATAAAAACACAGAATGCACTTGAAGGTCAGTTGAGTTTGTTCTTCCTTTCTAGGACATCGACAACTCCTCTGGCCGTTTTTATGTTAACAGCAGAGAAAATTATTCAGAACTTAACATTGTGAACCTGGACATCAAAACCGATGCGGGTCAGTACCAGTGCAATGCCACCAACGCCTTGGGGACGACGATGCAGTTCTCCATCTTGCGGGTACGCAGCCACTTGGCGCCCCTCTGGCCCTTCCTGGGAGTCCTGGCGGAGATCTTCATCCTTGTCATCATCATCGTGGTGTACGAGAAGCGCAAGAGACCGGAGGAGGAGATGGACGGTGAGGCCCCTCCCCCCGCAATTATTACACCTCCCCAGAGAAAGGCTCCGAATTAAGTCATGTAAGAGGCACCAAGGGCTTTCATGCAAGAGGCTTGAGTCAGAATTCACCTTATTGGCCAGATACACCTGCATGTACTAGGAATTTGTCTTGGTGCATACAGTACCAGTCTAAAGTCTGGACACACTTACTGAAAACCATTTGTTTTTGCACAAGATAATGACCCTAAGCACACCTCAAGGTTCTGTAGTGCTGCGTTCCATTTGAACTGTGAAGTCAGAATTTCCAAGTTTCTAGTTGGAAATTTCAACTGGAATGCCCCCTGAAGTCGTAATTCCAACTCGGAATCTCGGACGAACCTCTGCAACCCCAACCTCAGAATTCAATGGTGTTTGTATGCGCAAAATACCATGTATATCAATGTATTGTTATCAACTGGTATTGCTAAAAATGGCTACCTGGAACCTGGCTAGAACTGGGGCCTGTTTCAGAAGGCAGGAGACCTTGCTTAGCCAGACAACTTGTCAGATTTAAGGTAGCCTGACCTAAATGTAAGTGAATGAAGATAAAGGCGATTTAAACTGGGGTACCTTAAATCTGACAAGTTATCTGGCTAAGCAAGAAATCTTGCTTTTTGAAACAGGTTGCTAAATGGCTATCCGACTTGTATTGGAACGTGGTTAACTTGGGTGTGACTTGATTCCCAGGTCCAACCCGAAGTAAATGTAACACAGCATAAATGCAGCATTATCTTGTGAACAAGGAAAGACATGGAGTACTGTAATAGATGGCTTGGCCCCCACAATGAGGGATGAGTTGGATCAAAGAGTAAGAGCAGATTGCCAACTTGTGCCCAGGCCTTACGGAAACTCCTTCTGGACTGTTGGAGAAGCATTCCAGGTGGCTACATCTGGACGCTGGTTAAAAGAATGACGAGTCTGCAATGCTATCATCAAAGCAAAAGGGGGCTCCTTTGAAGAATCTAAAACTTGAGAAAATTTAGAGATGTTGAACACTTCTCTTAATATCAGTATTTGATATGCATTACTCCATTGCCTCAAGGCCTTTTGCTACAGTATAAATAACTGTAAATAACAGCTAAAATGCATTAAAAGCAAACGTGTCCAGACTTTTGACTGCTACTGTACATTCACAAACAACATAAAACCCAAATTAAGAAAAATAATGAAAAAATAGAAATAAAATACTCAGCCAGTACTTTTTCTTCTAGCTGGTGAAGTTCAGTAGATCCTTTACTTAGACGTATTTTCTATATATGTGTTCAGTCCCATTACTGATGTGAACGACCGTCCATAATTTACTGTGAGAGACGTTGCTTGGGAACCTTCCATCACGAGGTCGATGGCTCTGCTATTTCTGAGCCAAAGTGTGGGCAGCTGTGACCTTAATTATTCATGCCTTTGAAGTGAGACCCCTCAAACTGATCGGTCACGTTCACGGGCCGTACCTCTGCAGCACAAGGGGCCGTGGCACGGCGCAGACTCGGCATCCACTCTTCAGCTTTGGTGGTTTGTTTCTCCGAAACGTCACTGAAGGTTGTGGTAAATCACCGTGTTTGCTAAAGACGGGGCTGGGCGGTTTGCTGGATTTGTCTCACTGTAGATCCGCCAAAATGTCCATGTATTCCAGGCCACAATTACAGTTCCTCAATGACTTGAACACAAATAAAGGTAGCAGTGTTCCAGAGACACTTCAGGCTATTGACCCTGCTGAGTTAACCCTAATGAGTTTGTTTTTTATGGTTATCTGGAACACATTTCTGACCTTTTAATGGCTGCACACTGTCCCTGTGGTCCATTTTTTTCCCAAACATGCTGTCTTGTGATGTGGAAGAACCGGCCCCTGACTCGGTTAGATGTGCTGCAGATTTATACACAAGGATGAAGCTAAAGTTTTGGGTCAAGGTTGTGTTGGAGGGTTACTAAGACTTTTTTTCCCCTTTTCCAAATCGCCTCATAACCTTTAAAATGGGTGGTAAGTGTAAGCTCCTGCATGCCTTCACTCTGTTACCCTTGCCATACCTGCCTTCCTACACAGCTCATTCAGGCCATGATCTCAGTGCTTACCCAGTTAATGCCTTTTATTGCTATACAAACCTGTCTAAATGTCTGCCTTTTCATTCGCCATTCATAGCTGGGTTTGGATGTGAGCCTCCCATTTCTAATTTCCAACTTGTTTGTTTGCATTTCCTTGCCCTGAATTAATTTCCTTCGGAACTGCTTCCTCAGTTTTCATAAATTCCTTTTTTTTTTTCCCTGATTGACATGCGAATTCTGGGGATTGTTACACAAGCGCACTATGAGTTGGTGGCTCCGGGGCCTGAAGTTTTAGCTGTCAGCCTATCACAGATCTCTTCATTTATCTTTTTTTTGCTAATTAGGCTCACCTTCCGTTTACCTGACAAGTGCTGAGGAAACGAGCGAATGGGTCCTGCCAGGCTTTAAATTAAATCACGTTCCTAAGCGTAAGGGAAGTGATGTGATTTGAGGACACACTTTTAGACTGTAAGAATGCAATATAAATCGAGCGGCACAGTATAGGCCAGCAACCCACTCTGAATATCACAAGGCAGCGGGGAGGGAAATTCACATTTTCTGTTTTTAATGAGGTACTTGCTCCCTTCGTATAGTCTGAAATGTGTCCTGGTTATGGCTCTGCATGTGGACCGTTAATCGCTGCGGCAAACATGAGTTAGGCCTCTGTGTGTGCACACGGCTTCGGTCGTGATTCGGGGGATAGATTAAGGCTGCTTAAGCAGTCCTACTAATGTGATCGGGATGGAGGATGACGTGTACCACACAGTCGCAGCATGCAGACACTCCGGATCGCACAGAATGTCCAGGAACTCTCCGGAATTCCAGCCACTTCGTAACATAATTGTCGTTCGGAAGTGCCGCCAACTCGTGAATGGTTTATTCATGATATGTTAGTCCAGCTCTTTTTAAAAAATGGTTCACATTGTACTGTGAAAAATCTTTTCCACTAGCTACTATGTTCTGGTGGGGGCCTGGTTGTTGTTGGTGTAGTACCGTGTAATTAGATGGGTGGGTGTAGGGAAGCAGGGTTCCCACGAGCCTTTAACACCAATTTCTGAAGTGTTCCTTTTAACCAGAATGAGGTGACTCAAGCTATCAACCTGCCTGACTTCTTCTCTCCTGTTTTCATTCATCTCGCCCCTCCTGAAGATGATGAGGCAGCTGGACCAATGTAAGTGGGCGGTGAATCAGTCCGCATGCCCCACAGCGGCTGCCGGGTCCCGTGCTCCGCTTATCGGCGGCTGTGCTGTAGGGCTGATCGCCTCGGTTACTGCGGAGGCGTGTTTCAGAGCTCGACCTTGTGCCTCGGTGTGTGATTGTAGTAAGCGGGCACCATCCGTCTGGCCTAATCACAGAGCTGCCCTCACTGGCTCTGAGTAGCTCCCGGCAGGTAAACGCATGAACTAGAGCAAAGTGTAAAAACTGGCTCCAAAAGCTTCAGATTCAACTTATTGTTTTTCTGTCCATAAATGACACATTTAAATATTTTTTGATAAAAGATTTTTCTTACTCTCTTTGCCAGCCTATGCCTTGTCATTATTTCTTTGAAATTCCTTTCAGAAGCCACACTAAAAATACCTGTCGAAATGCAACAATTTTTTAGTAGTGACTCTGAGGCCAGGGATCTGTGCTGTCAATTAGAAGGTTGCTGGTTTGAATCTTGCGAATGCCAGGAGTGATTCTACTCCGCTGGGCCCTTGAGGAAGGCCCTTAACCTGCAATTGCTTCATTCTGGGTATGACATTAATCTACACCCAGCCCTGCAAGCCAGTCCTCGGGAACTTACAGGGAAAATTTGAGGGTTGGTGGCAGGATTGGCACTCCAGCCACCGAAAAAAACTCACACTGGTCCTTTTGGACTGGTGTGGTGCTGAGGATTCGCCCGCCGTACGGCTGCACTCGGGGCGTCATCCCTGAGCTGGTTTGTTGTGTGGTGGTGTGATGGTATGAGAATGAAACATTCTGAGGTATTAAATCAAACGTGGACCAATTTTAAGCTTTTATCTGCCGGTACTTACTCTGAAGGCTTTGTATGTGTTGCAGCTGTTTCCGGACTGTGAGAGTAATGCCCCCCCTCCCCCCCGCCTTCTCTGTTAGGAAAACAAACTCCACCAACAATCACAAGGAGAAGAATCTGCGCCAAAGGAACACCAACTGAGCGGGGAGAGCCTGTCTACAGTGAGTACCCCAGCGCCCCCTCCAGGCGGGGTCATGAGGCCACACATTACCCAAGCCTGACAGCAACACCCCCCTCCCCTAATTTCTTATTCACAGACAATGGCGTGAATTTCACGAGGTGAAGATGGGAGGAGCCCTTGGCTTGTCAATCAAACGAACCTGGTTTCATTTGGAGTCTGATGAGAGCTGAACATTAGGGGGAAACAGACAAAACGGCTGTGTTAAGCATCCCTTGTGAAGATATTACAATAGATGTACATATATTTATGTATATATTTTTCCATTGTGTATGATTTTATTTTTTATTTTATTTGTACTTGGGCATTATAATTATTTTACTTTTTTATGCATGGTATGCAGATTTCATTACGCTTGTAGTACTCTACAGTAATAGTATAGTACTATACATACTTGGTTCTTTTTGATGGTTTACAAATCAATGGACTACCTTTGTATTTCATGTAAATCCTTGACACAATGAGTCGCTGAGAGTTTTGTACAGTTTCTCCCTTGACTTAGATATGGCTCAGCATTCAGCAGCATTCGGCCCGCAAGGCCGTACGTCACAGGTGGGGGGCGCCACCTTGCCAAGCAGTATTTCATCGAGGACCAGTGAATGCAAACATTTAAATTAAAATTAAATTAAAAAATTTAAATGCTCAAACGTATAGGCAGCCGGAGGAAAACGGGGATTTAAACGTTGTCCATTTTCTTTAGTAACTCACATGGCTTCATGTCTTGTATATGCTGCACTTAAGTGTTAATAATTACAGTAGAAAGTGTGTAAAATTTGTTTTTATATAAAAAAAAACACTCATTCTATTTTAAAATATTTATGTACAGCATGGCTATTATTCTATGCAATATTTGCTTATATATACATAAAAATATATGTATATATACATATATAGATACATCTATACATATTTACATAAATACATATATATTCACAATCTGAAGGTAAGCAATAGCAGTGTGTTTTGAAGCTTTAATGTAACTGTGTGGGATCATGTTTACTGAATCTGGTATGTAATGCACTAACTCACACACCTTCTCTGCATGACGTTTCAACAGTTTGTGTGCGTGTCCCTTAACTGCAGAAGGACTTCCACTATAGTAGCCAGTGTGCAGAGGTAGCGGTTCACGACTGTCATTTTTATGAATAAAAGAGTGAAAAACTGACCCTCGCAAAAAGTGTCACTGCTTTCCCTGGGGCTCAAAGATGCATGCGGGGCCACGAAGTTGATTTGCAGGTCACACCCCCCTTCGCTCCCCCGGTCCTCTTGAACCAACCACTTACTCTGCTGGAGCCAATTTACATGCTTTTAAAAATGGAGGCTGAAAGGCCCATGAGGCAGGTGCCCCAACAAAGACACACAGTGTTCAGAAGACTAGGGAAAGAAAATGACCCCAGCAACCCGTAATGGTGGTGGTTTGTTCATGCCCTAAGACCTACCTGGTTTTTCTGTGTCCCAGAATCCACCAAAATCCGGTCATTGTTTGGGCAGAAAAATAAGCCAACTGGACTTGATCTGCAGGTGCAAACTGAAGGCAGACTGGAATGCAGTTAGTAAGAAAAAGACGCCACTGCACTCTTGTTGCATGATGGCTGCCTTGTTCCAGCCAAGACCTTTTGTCTCTGAGCCAGAGAATTGCCATAGACATGTGGTGCCATCTAAGTCCTACTGAACTGGCAGGTGCTAGTAATCTTATGCATCTGTAGCACAGTGACAGTGTTAATCAGAAGCCGCTAAGCGGAGCACATTTCGAAAGTAACGATGCCGTGCGAAGAGACCAGACTTACTCATCATTGTTCATTATGCAGCTGTGTCTAAGTGACAATAGCATCCATAGTTAGCATGAGATACTTTTGTATTTTAAAGTAATACTATTAGCCGACTATTTAATCAGACAAAAGTTAATTAACGTAGAAGCAAAAAAAATGTCTTAGGCAGATTGAGAGCCACCTGTTCAGTATTTACTAACAGAGAAGAAAAATATAGAATGTGGCGTCTATAGGGTGTTTCCAAACTTAGGTGTAAAGGCAAAAGAACTGGTTCTCAAAGATGGAAGAACATCCGACACACCACGATCATTGCCGAGCAAAGGATGTCTTATTGATTATACACAAGGTTAGTAGACCTGAAAAGCCACTTATCTGCTCCGTTCTGTCTTTCATTCTGAAGAATGGAGGATGTTGGTCGTGTCCCCCATTGAGATCCGTCTTTGCAATTTGCAAATGCTGCCATCTAGTGGAACTTGTGCTGCCCATCCATCCATTTTCTGAAATCACTTGTCCTGTTCAGGGTCACAGGTGGTCTGGGGGGAGACTATGGCATAAGGCAAGGAGCAGCCCAGGTTGGGGTGCCAACTCATCACAGGGCACACTCACACACCATTCACACTTATGGGCAATTTGGCAACTGCAATTAACCTTTTTGGAGTATGTGTGTGTGTGTGTGTGGGGGGGGGGGGGCTAGAGTACCCTGGGGAACCCCCACAGTGAGAACACCCAAACTCCACACACATGGAGCCATGGCAAAGACTCGAACGCTTGTCCCAGAGGTGTGAGGAGACAGTGCTGAACGCTGCAGTGCTGTGCCTCCCCTCATGCTGCACAAACCCTTTAAAACACTCCACAGGATCATGAGCCACAGTACTGTTTATCACAATAACGTACAGTATACAGGGGAGTAGTAGGGGCATCGATAACCTGGCAGATTCAGAGGGACCAGAACTTGAATCAATACTGGAAATTATATCAAAAATTGGGTGACAACATTTTGTCAGGTAGCCCTGAATTTGTAGCTGTGCCCCTGTATATATGTGTGTGTGTTTGTGTGTGTCTATATTTATATATATATATATATTCATTACACATGTCAAGGAATTTCTGCAGACTCCTGGGCTGTCATTCAGGGTCACCTTGGTCATGCAGCTCTGGCGCATTTGCAGATTCTAGCACCTTTATAGAACAAAAAAAAAGCACTCTATCTCTGTCCCATTCATAAACAGCCACATTTCATCTGAGTTTTAGCAGTTTTGCAGGTGCACCGGCAATGTAATTGCAACCATCAGCACTGAGATATGAAGACCTGGCATTTTTGGGTTGCAGAAACCCAACACAGTGTATTATTATTATTTTTATTATTATTATTATTATTATTATTATTATTATTATTATTATTATTATTATTCATAGTCCTTATTGCTATTTCTTCTATCAACGAAGTATGTGACGCAAAAAGGCCACGAGGGGGCTCCACTGCGTCAGCAATTAAATTAATTTATTAAATATATAAAACGTAGAAATAAAGTTATTGCAATAATTGGCTCCTCTTTATAGCATAAACATTTTAAACCAATATATATATATTTAATGTTTGGGATTGAATGTAATTTGAATCCTTGCAAAGGACTGAGTAACCACCACATTGCATCATCATGACCACGTATGTAGTGAATAGATCAGTTTCAGGTTGATGGTTTATTCCGCACTGCACGCATAGCTGATTGAATCATTAGCCTGTCGATTAACACGCAGATGGGTATATATGAGAAGCAGACGTACAGACATATTCTACCGTGACCTATATAAATGACCACTATTTTGGTTGAACCTTTTATTTTCCTGCCCCCGTAAATCCACTCCGCGTCTCCTCTCCCGCCCTCGTCGGAATGAGCCACCAAGAAGCTGAATTCCCAGAAGGGACTCACATGTTTTCCCTACAGGCTCTCTGCGTTGAAAGATATTTGTAAGCATTCAGATTAGAGGCTGCAATTTATCACCGAGCGCTAACCCTCCCTTTTAAACCCCTTTATTCTCTGACCTAAATATCTATGTGTCCCTGATGGAAAGCATAGTCCTTGACCACGGCCGTCTCTTCGGAGTGTCACTTAGCTGCCGTGATGCTCTGAGGGAACTCCGGGAGGTGGGTGGAGGTCTGGGGTCAGACATGGAGTATTACCCAGAGTGCGTCTCCATTTACGGAAACTCAGCATTAATGTGACTTCTGTTCAGCCTTCGGGTATCCGTTCATTCATGAACTGAGAAGGAAGCTAGGATGAAAATGCATTATGCAAAGTTAAGCGTTTAGCTAAAGGTTTATGGTTTTTTAAAGAGTGCTAGATCTAGCTTATAACGTACGAAAGAAGCTGAGATCTATGAATATGAATGTCTTTCTTTCAGGTAATATTTGCGTCTTCATCAGGTAACTATATATAAATAATGACTTCAAACTTAATTCAAACAAACACACACACACACATACCTAGAAATCATCTAGAAATCTAGAAACATCTAGAAACAGACCATACTACTACTGTCACTACTGTCATTCAAGAAAAAGAGAACAGAAACTACAAAGAAACGTATTTAATAAAACAACCTAAAATCAACTAACAGTTATTCATGCCGCGCATTTAAGTAATACGTTCTAATCCAGAGCTACTTAAAGTTATTAATTAAGGCATTGTTGTTACAATTTTCCGTAGTATTCCGCGTATTCTGAAGACGGTATAGCCTAGTAATTCTTGCTATGTCAAAACTGGCCGTTTATCCTGACGGACTGTTATTGGACTTGCTCATAGCTTTAGCTGGATGTAAAAATTTGGCACAACGATGTTTATGTGTAGCCTACCTTGATACATGCTGATCGAAATTAAAATGTAACCATAATAGTCAAAAATTCAGAAAAGCTTGACAAGTACTGTTTTACATATGGGTTAAATATACCCCATTGTCAGTATAAAACATAGGTAGCCACTGGGTTGCGCACACCCATTGAAATTACAACTTTCAAAAGAAATGTATTGTCTTCGTGGTAACCCAGTATTATTTTTACCCAAAATACCAAATATGGCAATTAAAACAAGGGGAATCACAAATCATAATCAGCATTATTGTATTAATATTGACTTATGAAGTCCAAACAAGCGCGTGCGCATACACCCGCTTCACTATTTATATACAGTATAGGACATTCAAACGTGTTCGATTCGACACCCATTACACATTTAAACTGGCAATAGTTAAACTTACATGCTGCTATTATTCTGCGCGATCAAAAAAAGGTGCAACATCTGGCTGCCCACATAGTAACGTTACAGTAATATCCAATTAAAATCGATTTATTTAAGCAGAAGCATTTAAAGTGTGCGCTGAGCCAGTGTAAGAGTGCGGTCACTTAAAACAAATATTTTGGGTGGATATCAGCCTCATTTGTGTGAACAGAAAAAGGCTAGACAACGACGTCGTTTGTGCGCATCTGTAATTTATATCCAATCTTCTGGGGTTCCGTTTATCTACAGATATTTTACGGTAACCCAGAGAATTAGTTTTTCTTTTTAATATTGAAGATTTTAGAAGGGGCGATGTTTTGTCAACAAGCCTTGGATGGTGGTAGGAGGTGAGGGGGTGCCACGATTTAATTTAATTGTTTATTACTGACAGCAGGCACAGTCTGGGGTGAAGAGAGCATGCCCCGTTACTAAAGCACTAATGAAAGGCACGCGTGTCCCTGCACCTCCCACTGCCTGCAGATCGCATCCTCTCGCACGTCTCTCACCTGACACGCCGGGCTCGGCACTTTACGTCTGCGCTACTTTGATCTCGGGCTCTCTGGATTTCTGAGCTTATTTCAGTGCCTTGCAACAGGAGTGCGCGGACGACGAAGGACGGACTATGAAGGCTGCAAGGGGAGCATATTTTTAAATGTCAGGTAATATTGGATGCGTTCCAGTTCCTGCAAACGCAGCACAGCCACCCATGTCATGTGCATCAGTATAAGGCTTGCACGGTTCGTGATTAGCTCCAGTCAGTGCGCTCGCAGCCACGGATAGGGAGTTGGATGGTTCGTGGCACCGTGGCAATAATAATAATTATTTAAACAATACCAAGGATCCGCTTTCCGATTTTAAAGAAATTGATCTTCCGAATCTTTTGATTTAATAATGGACAGGCTACATTCTTCCATGCGCAAAAGGCTCTACAGTTTGCCACAACACATTGGACAGAAAGCCTCGATCATTGGCGAGGGAGAAGACGGCGACAAGGACACTCAAAGGAAAGGTATCAGGATGAAGCCCTTGCCCTCGCCGTCCTCCACGGGAAGCTGCAAAAACATAGGAGAGACCAAAAGCGGAGACCTAGTGATCATGGAGACGGACATGGGAAAACCGGT